TATCTCAACTAAAAATGCACAAAATTAGCCAGCCATGGTAGCATGTGCTTGTAATCCCAACTACTTGGGAGGCTGAGGCCAGAGAATCACTTGAATCTAGGAGGCAGAGGCTGCAGTGAGCCAAGATTACGCCACTGCACCCCAACTTGGGTGACAGAGTAAGACTCTGTCTCCAAAAAAAAAAAAAAAAAAAAGTGAGAGCTTTTAAAATAAAGGGTACAGGTCAAAGGGTACAGGATTAGATTGTATGAAGAAAGAGGGGTAAAATGTAATTTTAAAAAATTAGTCACTATAAAAACAGAGTTATCTATAATAGAAAATAACTGCTTATCCTGAAAACAAACCAAGAGACTTAGGAGAGCTACTATGAAGGAAAATATCCCACTCCTGGAGCAGAGAAACTAATAGAGACATTGGAGAATCTCATTCCCCAGGGATTTTTCAGAGGACAGCAAATATCTATGTTTTGATTTCTTTACTAGGTAGAATGCTATCAAGAGGTGGAGCTATGATCTTTGAAAACTCCATATAATTTCATTTATAAACTCACGTACTCTATTTCAATAAAAAGCAGACTACAATTCTTGAAACTAACAGAATCCTCTCTTGAGGTCTGCTCTGTAGCATATTAGTTAAAAGAAAAAACCTTTTGCCTTTTATCATTTACATATCTTCTACATTTCTTAAGGCCTAACTTGAAAAAGGGAGGTACAATACATTCAAGTTACGCTTACAAACATAAAATCATAGCCTCTGGTTCCATTGATTCTTACAGGGTTAACAGGCATTTGCCTTCTTACTACTATTTCTCTTCTTCTAATATATTATTTATTTAATAATTTGTAAAACACTGCTATCGCATCTAAGTGCTAAAATATAAAGTTAAAAACATATAAATTATTTAAATCCACCAATAAAAAAATTTAAAAAGAGAAAAATATGTTGATAATTTAATGCGAAGCTACTAGAAGAGGATCTAATGAGTGAACGAGACATTGAAACCAAAAAAGTCCCCATTTAACTAAATACAAAATGAATATGACATATACCTGATCAATAGTTAGTCAATTGGCTCTTGTTAAAAACCCACACTGGGCCGGGCGCGATGGCTCATGCCTGTAATCCCAGCACTATGGGAGGCCAAGGTGGACGGATCACCTGAGGTCAGGAGTTCAAGACTGGCCTGGCCAATGTGGTGAAACCCCGTCTCTACTAAAATACAAAAATTAACCTGGCACAGTGGCACACACCTGTAATCCCAGCTACTCGGGAGGCTGAGGCAGGAGAATCACCTGAACCTGGGAGGCAGAAGTTCCAGTGAGCTGAGATCACACCATTGCACTCCAGTCTGAGTGACAGAGTGAGACTCCGTCTCAAAAAACAACAACAACAACAACAACAACAACAAAACACCCACATTGTATGGCACCTTTGTGTTAGTCTGTTTTCATACTACTATATAGAAATATCTGAGACTGAGTAACTTATAAGAAAACAGCTTTAACTGACTCACATTTTCACATGGCTGGAGAGGCGTCAGGAAACTTACAATCATGGCAGAAGGTGAAGGGGAGGCAAGCACCTTTTTCACAAGGCAGCAGGAGAGAGAAGAGTGAAGAACTTCCAAACACTTCTAACACCATCAGATCTCATGAGAACTCACTCACTATCATGGGGACAGCATGGGGGAAACTGCCCCCATGATCCAGTCACCTCCCTTAACACATGGGGATCACAGGTCCCTCCCTCGACACGTGGGGATTATAATTCGAGTTGAGATTTGGGTGGGGACACAGAGCCAAACCATGTCAACCTTTAACAGAGGGACATAAAAGAGAAGAGGAATCCAGTTTACAACAATAAGTGACAAAAGAGATCCGTGGTGGGTAAGACACGTACAAGATGACAAGCTTTGAGCAAGTACAAGGTCTGGTCTGGGAGCTGTGGACCCAATTAGCAAAGACTCTGGGAAGACAAATGCATAGTTGTTCATGGGCCGTGAAAGCCCTTCTATTTTATAAAAAGGGTTCCAGGAGCTTGGGATAAATTAACCACGTTGTTTCCCCCTTTTCATCATCTAGCTTGGTACAGTCTTCTTTGGCAGTGTTTTGAGTCCTAAGAGGCAATGTGGTATAGTGGCAAGAACCTGGATTTCAAACTTAGCTCTGCTTCTGGAAGAAGAGGCTGAGATGGTAACAAGATCTGTGCTCCACTGGGAAGTGGCTACCCAACCAGGAACTGACTACATTTCCCAGCCATATCAGCATCTAGTATGGCAATGTGACTAGTTTATCTCAGTGGCATGTTAGTGGAAGTCATGTATGCTACCCGTAAAGCACGGCTTTTCAGAACTAGGTGTACCCTCTCTATTCTTTCTCCTGCCAGCTAAATGTGGCTGATGCTGAGGAGGAACTAGATGGCAGAACCACAAGAAAGAAGCTGCCTGGGTTCCTCAGTCACTTCTGGGAAAATCACTTAACTATGAACACACACACAGGCTGTCCCATGACAGAAATAAACTATTGTGTTAAGCCACCGAAATACTAAAGCTTATTTGTCACAGTAGCAAGAGTTAACCTAACCAACATATATATATGCTGATAATTACTAAAAATAATAATGGTGATGGTGTCAGACACTGCATTAAATAAGTCATCATTAATACTGTTAAGAAATCTTGGCCCAGCCTAGGCAACATGGTAAGGTGCTGTCTCCACAAAAAAAAAAAAAAAAAAATTAGCTGGGCACAGTGGCACGCAGCTATAGTCCCAGCTGCCTGGGAGACTGAGGTGGGAAGATCACTTGAGCCCAGGAGTTTGAGGGTACAGTGAGCCTTGATCGTACCACTGCACTCCAGTCTGGGCAACAGAGTGAGACCCTGCCCCCACCCCAAGTAAGCACATGAAAAGATGCTCAACATCATTAGCCATGAGGGAAATGCACATGAAAACCATAATGACATGCTACTTCATCCCCACTAGGATGGCTATGGTCAAAAAGATGGGCAATAGGGGCCAGGCGCAGTGGCTCATGCCTGTAATCCCAGCACTTTGGGAGGCCGAGGCGGGCGGATCACAAGGTCAGGAGATCGAGACCATGGTGAAACCCCGTCTCTACTAAAAATAGAAAAAATTAGCCGGGCGCAGTGGCGGGCGCCTGTAGTCCCAGCTACTCGGGAGGCTGAGGCAGGAGAATGGCGTGAACCCGGGAGGCGGAGCTTGCAGTGAGCCGAGATTGCGCCACTGCACTCCAGCCTGGGCGACAGAGCAAGACTCCGTCTCAAAAAAAAAAAAAAAAAAAAAAAAAAAAAAAAAAGATGGGCAATAGCAAGTACTTGTGAGAATGTGGAAAAATTAGAACCCTCAAACATTGATGGCGGGAAGGTAAAATGGTGCAGCTGCTGTGAAAAATTTTGGCAGTTCCTCAAAAAGTTAAACGCAGTTATCCCATGACCCAGCAATTCTACTCTCAGATATAGACCCAAAGGAATCGAAAATATATGTTCACATAAAAACTTGTACAGGAATGTTCATAGCAGCATTATTCATAATAGCCAAGAAGTGGAAACCATTCAAATGTTTATCAGCTGAAGAATGGATAAACAAATGTGGTATATGCATACAATGGAATACTATTCAACCATAAAAAATGAAATTCGGATATATGCTACAACACAGATGAACCTTGAAAACATTATGCTAAGTGAAAGAAGCAAGGAACAAAGGTCACATACTATACAATTCCATTTATATGAAATGTCCAGAGTATGCAAATCCATAAAGAAAAGACAGAAAGTAGATTATTGGATGCTGGGGCTGGGAGAGTTGGAGGGAAATGGGGAGTGACTGCTAATGGAGAAAATGTTTCTTTTTGGGGTGATGAAAATGTTCTGGAATATTAGATAGCAGTGGTGGTTGCACAACACTGTGAATATACTAAAAACCACTCAATTGTACACTTTAAAAGGGTAAATTTTATGGTATGTGAATTATATCTCGATTTAAAAAAGAAAAGAAAAAGAGAAATGCATTTGCTCCACCTTGCCTCTTAGAGATTCTGGCTCGACACAAAGAGGCACTGAGCTCTTTTCATGTACCATGATTCTAGGCTGCTCAGAACCCGCAGACTTCTTCCTATCTTCTGCTGCAAGCAGACAAGTCCAAATAGCCCCAGTGCCATATGCATTAAATGCCTCTGTCTGCATGTGGAGAAATAAGGTACAAGGCTTTCCTTACTTTGAGTAACAGCATAGTTAACAACGAGATGAGATAAATAAACAGTGACGCTAGCCCTGAGAATGCTATGAGTGTGGGGAATAGGATAGAGCTCCATAATAACTACTAAAGTATATATTGCTTCAGCAAAGTTCTCTAAGGAAGAAAACAATCCTAAAAAATGTTCTCACTCATAGGTGGGAGTTGAACAGTGAGAACACTTGGACACAGGGAAGGGAACATCACATACATACTGGGGCCTGTTGGGGGGTGGGAGGCTGCGGGAGGGATAGCATTAGGAGAAATACCTAATGTAAATGACAAGTTGATGGGTGCAGCAAACCAACATGGCACATGTATATGTATGTATCAAACCTGCACGTTGTGCACATGTACCCCAGAACTTGAAGAATTAAAAAAAAAAAGTGTGGTGTGTGGTGGGTGCTGTGGCAGGGTGGAGCGGAGGGGTTCTGAGAGAGGATTGCATAAGGAAAGTATCCTTTTTTCCCCTATTTAGGCACACATGCCATTTTCAAAAGTGTGAGTCAAATTCACACCACAGAATAGAGAACATCAAGTAAATTTCATGTAAGTATTTGGTGACATCAAGTAAATTTCATATAAGTATTTAATAGTCAAAACTGAAGAGAAGATCACTGGAGTGTGTTTTCAATCTCCAAGTAAGAACGTAATTTGGTGATTCTATGACTCTTCTTTGGAGCCTCCCAATCCACTGGGAACACTGTCTTTTCAATAGGAATACATTCCTGAAAAGACACAACTTACTTGCAGGAGACTTTAGTTCTGTCAGCAACCATGGTCCACTGTTGCTGGTTGGTAGAAACCTCAACGTAGTAGCTATAGCTTCGATCATCACAATCCCACAGTAGTAACCTGAACAAAGGGAAAAATGTAAGATTGCTGTAAACATTTTAATTGGTTGTTTCCTTAGGCTGCGGGCATATCCCTCCCACCCACCTCCTTTGTCCAGCACATTTCTAAGACTGGACAAAGTGAATCCCAAAAAAGCATGAAGAGAACAGGCCGAGTCAGTCTGCAGTGAGAGGCTTTTAATCGTTAGTTTTTTTTCACAAGTCCCCCAATCCCAGGCAGCCTCTGCCCCACTGGTGGCAAAGTTCTTTAGACTGGTTTAGGAGAGAGATGTCCCCAGATCACCCTTCCAGTTTCCTCTAGCTCTCCTCTCCAGTTGGTTCGGCTGACCACTGCTCATGGGAGAATCTGTGACTTCAAATAGATTTTTATTTTTCATTTCTATTTTTAGAGACAAGGTGTTTCTCTGTCACCCTGGCTGGAGTGCAGTGGTGTGATCAGCGGAGTAATCAGTGGTGTAAACAGTGGAGGCTCACTGTAGCCTCCAACTCCTAGGCTCAAGTGATCCTCCCACCTCAATCTCCTGAGTGGCTGGGACTATAGGTGCACACTATATTTTTCTGTAGAGGCACAGTCTCACTATGTTGTCCAGGCAGGTCCTGAACTCCTGGTCTCAAGTGATCCTCCTACCTTTGCCTCCCAAAGTGCTGAGATTATAGGTATGAGCCACTGTGCCCAGCCTAATTGATATTTTTATTTTTATTTTTAGAGCACATTTTTACTCTGCTGCCCAGACTGGACTGCAGTGGTGTGATCATACCTCCTTGCAGCCTCCAACTCCTGGGCTCAAGTGATCCTTCTACCTCAGCCTCCCAAGTAGTTACAAGCATGCACCACCATGCCTGGCTATTTTTAAATTTTATGTAGAGTCAGGGTCTCACTATGTTGCCCAGGCTGGTCTCAAACTTCTAGCCTCAAGTGATCCTCCCACCTCAGCCTCCCAAAGTGCCAGGATTACAGGTGTGAGCCGCTGTGCTGGTCTAAGTGATATTTCTTATAGTATTTTCTAATTGGTTATAACCCCATCACCTTTATTATCATATTTTAGCTTCCTTCTTATTCTCACCAGGATTTTTACATAGCTGTAGTAGGATTATCTGATTTGGAGATATAGGCAAACACACATTCATTTGCAAAACTTTCATTATTTAGAAATTGATTACCTTGGTCCTGTTCTTAACCCCCTTTTCTGCCCAGATAAGAACTTAAGCATTAACTGTGTAATTCCATTTACATGAAGCTCAAAGCAGACAATTTATCTGTTGGTGACAGGAATCAGAATAGTGGTTAGCTCTGGGGGAGGTATCGACTAGGAAAGGGTAAAAGGGAACTTTCTAGAATCCTGGAAAAGTACTAATTTTGATCTGAGTGGTAGTTATGCATGTAAATAATCACTGAGTTATACATAAAAGATCTGTTCACTCTGTGTGTGTTACTCCTCCATTTTACATATATATATATATATATATATATATATTTTTTTTTTTTTGATATGGAGTCTCACTCTGTCTCTCGGGCTGGAGTGCAATGGTGTAATCTCAGCTCACTGCAACCTCTGCCTCCCGGGTTCAAGTGATTATCCTGCCTCAGCCTCCCGAGTAGCTGCGATTACAGGTGCCCACCACCATGCCCAGCTAATTTTTGTATTTTTAGTAGAGATGGGGTATCACCAGGTTGGCCAGGCTGGTCTCAAACTCCTGACCTCAAGTGATCCACCTGCCTCAGCCTCCCAAAGTGTTGGGATTACAGGCGTGAGCCACTGTGCCCGGCCTAAAAAATAATTTTAGAAAAGAATCTGAGCATTGCAGTACAGGATTAGTATTTTGCTTCTGACAGTGCCACAGGGGAGACAGATATTGTTTTCTATTATTTCAGCCTTAAAAGTCCTTCTCATACAAACTATATATTTTACTGCTTTATAATTGGTCATATGTGTTTGCTTCCTCTACCAGCTGGCATAGATAGTAAGCTCCTTGAAGGCAGTGTCTATGTCTTACTGATTTTTTCCATACCATTGACAGAATGTCTCACATGGAGCTTAAACTCAGTCAGTGGTTGCTGAGCAAATACATTCTTGTTAACAACAACAATAATGGCTGGGTGTGGT